ATTTCATCGCCGCACCGAGCACACCACCTTATTTATTTCAATAGGCAGAAGCATATGCTTGCAGCAGACCTTTAACCACGGAGCACCCACTTTGTAGTGCGATATGAAAACACCATCTGGTGTGTGAGCAGCGGCTAAGCTAAGCTAGCTGGGGCTAGATAGGGCCCTGCTGTGTCACAGGATTATCTTACTGGTTGGTAGATCCGCTCTATTAGCCCCTAGTGGCTTGGATTATTGGATGATCATTACTATGTGTGACTGAACATAGAGCTAAGTACCTGCGCCTCCTTGACACAGTTGTTTTGGTAGTGATCAGATACAGTCGAACCGCCGTACAAAGCAATCTGCATTTATTTCACCTCGCTCCACAGTTTATTTGATACGCCCCCGTTTGGACCATATACGCTCCGCACATATTGACCGACTTCAATCAAAAATGGCTTCAGAAAGAAAGGAGATTATGGCACGGCTCATATTTGTTAGTGGAAGTCGAATGTTCTTTTCTAATGCGTCTAAACAGGATCACAGACGAGCAGAGAAGATGGCACATTCAGAGACGGGTCCTCCGCTCAACAAAACGAACATCTGCCGTTTCTCATCAGTGAGATTGAAGCTAATGATGAGCCACGAGTGTGCTGACAGAGAGAATGGAATTGGATTGTGTACAAGAGGCCCAGTGAGACCAGACATATGTTTTAGAAAATGTTCTGGATGAAGTATGGGTTTATATACTGCTGGTGTGTCTATGTGTGTGTGTGTGTGAGCTAAGCTACAGATGCCCGTGAGTGGAAGAGGCAGAAAATAGGGCCCGTGCTCTTCCTTTTGCAGTTCGTTTATCCGTCCATGTTTATACAAGTGGATGAAGGGGAGTGTGTTAGCGCAGGTAAAACAACCGTTGTATTCCTCCCATTTCAATCTGTGCTTTCGCTAACAGATAATGGAATTACACATCAAAGAAGCTCCTCTCTGTATCCAATTCTTCTGTGACCTCTACAAGCCTTTGTTCATATTCACCACAACAACTCCCGGGCCCCAAGCCTCCGCCAGCAGGCTTCTCCATGCTTCCTCTCTCCCTCTCTCTCTCTGTCTAGGGAGAGATTAAATTTAGATGAAAATGAAATATTCATTTCCACTCAGCAACTGATGGCCATCTTAATTTGATACAACTTTTGATGCAACATCTCCTCATTGTTCTTTTTCATCACCAAACGTTTTTTTTTTTTTAAATGTCGTCTTCCCACTCGTCCCACCCAACCATAGCATCCTCCTTTGGGTAATTCTCAACACAAGCACCCCCCCTTTTGGATTTGACTTTGTTAAAAGTAGAACTGAAAAGTACCATTACAGCTTTTTTTTTTTTTTTTGCAGTCTCTTGAAATATGTCTGACTCATTTCAGATGAGACATTTGCACAAACCCCGGTGAGGAGGATCTCCGGGAGCATGCAAGTTGGAGAGTGCACTCTATAGCTTGCTGGAAGAGGTAATCACATGAAAACTTCTCAGTCTCTCGTCGCTGCTGGTGTGGGGATAACGACAAGCCACTGAAGTGGCTCTGTGTTTGGAGACTTCAAACCAAAAGTGGTGACCACAAACCCGATTTATCCCACTGAAGCTTCTGAGTGGTCACACTGCATACATCTTCAAGTGCTGCACATTTGTCAGCTTACTCTTAAACGCCGGGGTTCTTTCACAGGAAAAATAATTAAATCTCGAGCCTTGCCTGCCCAAAGCATTTGAGGAAAGCCAAATAAAAAAAAAAAAAAAATGCAAGTGACCCCGGCGTTGTAAAGGCAGAGCGAGGAGCGAAGGAAATGAAATCAACATGAAAATCATGGAGGAGATTGATTAACTGGCACTGATTAAGTGCTTTAAGTATTAGCTAGATAAAGTAATTGATTATTCAATAAATCCCTGTCAGGCGGTGAATAACCTCAGTGAAGAGAGAAAAGAAACAACAAATGATAAATTAGTTTCATCAATCCACAGATGACGGAGACAATGTACAACGACGTGTCATTACTGTATGCTTTAATGATGTATTATTCTAAAAGCACGCCGAATTTCATTTTAAATCCCTGCGTTGAGAAGAAACCGAGGGTATTAATGTACTGTGAGCAGCATGCCGCTCACAGAGTAGAGCACAAAACTAGCTTCTCCTATGAAATCATCAGTGTACTACTTTAATGTCTTTTTTTTTTCTCCACGTTGGCAAACATACAAATTATCTACAGACACATGCTATCTTTAGAGAGAGAGAGAGAGGAAGAAAAAATAAAATAAAACCACATGCCCATCCTTGAGCACTTTGGTCTTTATTATAAAAACATTACATTATCAGCTGAAATGGTTCCTGGATGAGATGAGAGGTTGCAAAACATGTCAGGAAGAAGACGGAGGGGGAAAAAAAAAAAAAGAGAGAATTATGAAAGGCAAGCAGAGGGAGACTAAAGAGAAGCACAGCATGTAAGAGGACAAATACAGGAGGAGTAGTCTTTTATTCCCTCCAACAAATAGAAGCTGCTGAATGAGACGGAGCGACCATCTGGCCTCAACTTAGAGCAATGCACTGTAAAAGCACTAAAATCAATGGCAACAACTCTACCTTGGATGCCCACCATTACCCAGATGGTGTACTTGGAGAACTGCAGGCCACCTAAACCAAGAGCAGACACAGCACAGACAGAGAGCACGGCGCTCGAACACCACCGCCCACCTCCATGAATTTCACTGGTTCGCTCCGTGTTGGGAACCAGTGCCGAGGAGCGACGTTAGCCCCCCGACTATAAGAGAGCCCTCTGTTGGTTCGTGACACAGAGCGCAGACTTGCACACCAACTACCCAAAAAAAAAAAAAAAA